CGTGATATGTTTCAGATAACATTTGAGCACACTTCATTGAAATTGGTAGATTTGAATATAGTAATAAATATTTATGCAGCCAAATTTTTTCTATACATTGTGCACTAAGAATGTATAGAATGCAATTAACGTTAAATATTTGTACAGACAGAAGGTTAAATGAATTATAATAAGTTCAGTGTAATTGTATTTTGTATTATTCTTTTATAGAATGTGATTTGTATATCAAAATGGGGAACAATGATTGAAAGTTGATAATGTACGTGAAATTCGTGGAAATTAGTTCGCAATCGTCCGAGAAAAGAAAGTTAGCGAGCACTGTGGAAAAATCGTATTGCTAAGCAAGATTCGATTATCGCACAGAATTTGTTACTTATTTATAGAAAAGTGAAAATGTCTCAAACGGGAACTTTGGGACGAAGATCTACCATCATCTTCAATTACAATAGTCTATTAAATTCAACAAATCTACCAAATGAAATGTTAAACAAAGACAAATTAAAGGGAGTCTTGAGTTCTTAAATATGCCATATTTCATAACCTTAAATAACAAGAAACCATTAACTAAAATAACGAGAATAATAAGTAACGATCAAAAATAGTATGACTAAGCAAGATTCATTATCGTACAAAATTTGTCACTTATTAACGAAAACAAAGGAAGGACAAACATTGAAATACTAATTAATTATACAATATGAAAATCAATATACAGTCAAACGGAAGAAAGAAAACGCAGAATTCTAAGTAAAACTTTAAAACCGGTCATTTAATCGTACGTTTAATATTAAAATTCCCACATGATTTTAAATACTTTCGTGAACGTCTACTAATTAACACGTCGAATGCTGTAGGGGTCACCGGTGACCCCTAATCAAATTGAATTACTATAGTTCACTCAATGAAACGACGATTATTTGGAAACGTTTCTATATTACAAATAATGTTACCTAATTTCATGACATTCGGCTAGAAGAACGTGCAATAATAATAATGCTATTCAATCGAATGATTCAATATCATGTTTTTCCCATTTTGTGTACTTTGCTTTATAAAATCGTGCGGGGTTTAACGTGTTAAGATGTAAAGTTGATTCCAGTCTACACATTGGACTGAAATAAATGTGGGAAATGAAAAGCGGCAAGATATTTATGAGTGAACGTAACGGATTGACGGAATATATATTCCTTCAAGGATAACATAACAAATGGCCAATAATGCCCGCCATGTCTGCCTTTCTTGTCCCAAGACAATAAGTGTTCCTAGAAACAGGCAACATCATTGCTCTCGGTCAACCGTGACTATTGGCCGCCTATCACTGGCTAACGTAGTGACTAACTTCGTAAAGGTATAGCCATGAGCAGTGCGGATTTTTCCTCGCCATTAGAACGGAGGGTCCGCCTTCATTATCTAGATATTTCGTTGCGACAACTGCAATTGGTTCAATACCGTTCGTTTCTATGCCCACGATTGCCATTGTCACTTTATATCTCAAACAGACGAAAAATTCTCTCGTTACTGGCTGAACCATTTCCACAGAGCTGAACTGTACCTGACAATAACTTTCTTTTCATTCGCGATACTTCTGTTGGTGTATTCGCAAAGGACAACGTGTTATTAGAGAATAAATCGTGAATTCGTGAGAGTACGTTTCAGTTGTCTGTTTACCGATACTTAGCCTAACTGTGGAATTTAGTTTGAAAAATCTCTCGTTCTGCGCACAATAAAAACAAAATTGAAGTGTGTACTCGTTAAACGTAGGACGAATGCGTCTAGTATATTTTTATGAAAAACGAAAGCAAGAGAAAGGACTACACGATTATCTGAAAAAATAAATAATTCATTGTTGAAAGAATTATTAGTATATTCGTCAAACGCAGTTGACTGGTTAACACTAAAACTACCGAGCATTTATTAGGGTTGATACGTAATACTTATAAAGATTGTAACAATACTCTTTTTTACTATTTCTTCAGATATTCCTTGGAGAACTTCGGTGAAACTAGTTATTTTTTAAGTTATTTCGTGTATTGAATACTTTTCAAATATTAATAACTGCGAAATAATGAAACTAATTAAACCCCGCCATTTAACCCTTTGTAAAATAATTTTTCTGTTATTTCTCGAATTTGCAATGTAATTTCAATTTTCTAATACACTTTGATTATATGAGAAAGTACCTGTCATTATATTGTGGCAAAAAATCAATTCAAACTGTGAAAATATGTTCATCATGTGTCATTACAATATTTTGAGTCTCCTATTTATTAAAGTAAATATAAAAGTAGACAATTAGAATACATATTCTGATAAATGTATCAATCAAAATCGACTCGAACGTTTGCCAAATAATATTGAAAAAATTCATTGATTGTCTTTGAGATATTACAATCACGAAATTCTAGTTTATCGTTCGTTGGCAGTGCTCGCTACTTTCACACTTTCCATCGGTAGTCCTCTGAAACCGTAAATGATTAAACAAAGATTTATGATCGAACAACGTAACAAGTCGTCCCGATTGTTTCAGGTTTTTATCTCCGCTTGCAAAATTGAATTATTCCTTATATAAGAAGCGCGAATGTAAATCAGATTTATGGAATCTGTTTTGAAGCGTAATTTCGTATTTACATTGGAACGTGACGTTTAATGAGCGAATCGATATTCATTTCTCTCCATCGGAGAAAAAAAGGGGAAAGAACGCCGCAGTTTTCAGAGTATAAAACGGAATCACGGTTTTTCCTCATTCTTCCACAATAATCTGGGTTGAAATACTTGAGTTATTTGAAAGTGAGAGGAACTGAATTCCAGAGCCACGGAATTCACGAAATCGTAAATCCTCTTTCTACAACGGGCTCGAGTATAACAAATTTACCGTGCACACGCCGGCTGAATATTCTCGAATGTCGCGGTAACGCGGGCATAAAAGTAATTATACCGAAATAATTAAGTTGCAGAATTGAGTGCATAGGTTTCAACGATATTTATAACGTTTCGTTCGGAGCACGATCGTAAATATCCTGCATTTTCATACATTAGAAAGGGAACTTGTCGAAAACGCTGGAACTTTAACACTGGAACTATTGGATGGGTCAAAATGACCCATTCATGATTTCTTTTTCCAATTGTTGAGAAGATATCGGATGCTCCTCTGAGAAATTGCTTGAGAAATTGACAAAAACTACATTGCAAATCAATTGAAGTCTCAATAGTTGCACTATTTAGTTTCTACAGAGAAATTTCAGAAAGACAATTTGACTGCTCGATAGTTGTCTTAATAGTGTTAGTGTTAAATTTTCATGTTTTCCTTGCTAATATGAATATTAGATATAAATATAGTGTACTTGGTTTGTCTAAATATAAATTTGTGTTTTTCAAAAATTGCATCTTGCGATAGTTGTATAAATAAGTTGCAACGACAAACGATTTAATATCGAAAGTATCATGAAAAAGCTGTCGGGAAGATAACGAGAATTTACTAGGTTGCCTAAATAGTCTCATTAAATTTTTAAATGAAGAATAATCCTTAAGTCCTTAAAAAGATTGTGACAGTTTCCTATATTTCAAAATCAAATATTAAACTCACTTAAAACATAATTACAAAATAAGAAAACTAAAACACCAGTACTGCTAGTTCTAGTGTCAAAGTTCATTGAACTATGCGTCAGGTATTTTATCCAGAATCTCTTTGCCTTTCGATTTACATATTTACAATACTTTCTCGTATTATAATCTAAACTGTACATCGACCAATAAAATGGCATAACCTTTCGGGCAACCTAATCAAATCGAATGCAATAAACGAAAGAACTTTTCCATGTGGCGCTCGAATAACGGATCCGTCCAGCTATTCCCGAGGAGGGTATAAAAAGACAGATTTAAAATAGAAGAATGAATCATTGATCTATCGTTGCTTTGGTTTCGAGCCGGGTTCTTGTGTTCCTCTACACCTACACTCGCTCCTGATTGTTTAGCCGTGCTAAACGCGATCATGCTTTCTTGCATAACTTTTACCTTCTAATCGGTTCGACCTGACAAAACCGGTAATACCACACCCAATGATCGAGAGTATATCCGTCTGCAAGTCTCGCGGGCCCTAGATACGTTCTCCATATGGTTCACGGCCTTGTGTACCGTTACCGTGACGAGTTGCTTTGAATGAATCCATCTTTACGACCATTTGTGGGTCATCGACTCATCCGCGATCCTCGCAAGTTCATTCATAGAACGATCGTCGACTCTCGCGCAACGTTCGTTGAAAGTCACTCGAAATAACGGACAAATCCAACGCGATCGATATTCTGCGGATAACGAATGACAGATATACAAAGTTGAAGTTTTTTTCTTATTTAAATGAATTGACACTTTCACGTCGAGATATGTTTTTCTGTGCGTTCAATCACCGATCGTATTACATAATGAACAATGTTCGCAATGATGTTGAAGTGCATTCTTTTGTTACCTGTTTAGTCTTCAGGCTTCAGTTGATAATTGTGGGTGAATGTTGATAATTTTATTTGATAATAACGTTAATATGTTAGTTTATTTTCATATTGTAGAGTGGCTGTATACTGGTGGAATATTCCAACGAATTAGCTATAGTATAAATTAATCTCAATTTCGTTAACGTGAGATGAACAAATCATCCACTTCGATGAAATTAGTTCTTCGTAAAAGTTCAATTATTCAATTACTTTTGGAAAGTACTGTGCCTTCCTATTGTAGATTTTTCATTGTAGTCAGAATAATTTCAATCTACTTAATCAATTATAATTAGAATTTTTATTTATCTGTAACAATTCATTAAATCGTGCTAAAATTATGTGGATGAGAATATATTCTTTGGAATAATCTCCAGTTTGTTCCTAATAGTATTTCCTGCACCCTCTTGTATTTCACAGATAATTCTGCAACAGTCTAAACGTACCGGTACTACATAATAACATATTTCTACCATAATCAGTCAAATAATTGGTTATAAAATAGAGGCAAACAAGATACACGATAAATTTTTCTTAGTGGAGGCATAAATCAAAGGAAACACAAAAACTGAAAAGCCGATTAATTGGACAATATAGGAATCGATATAAGGTTAAATGGTCGAAAGAAAATGCAAAAGTTCTAATCATATTTTAATGCCGGTCATTTGACCGGTCGCGGCACGTTTATCGATAATGTTGCTAATATATACATATATATGTGTCGGTCTGGTATGCCCCACTCTTATCATAATTAGCGGCAGTCGAAGTCTTCGTTGATCTTTAATTGCCCGGGGCTCGGTTCATTTGTATAACATTAGATTAGAATTTGCCGAACACGCTCAATGGAATACCTCGACGAAGTATAATCGACAGATATAATTAACTGTCGGAAATTTATCGTAGTGAATTCGTGGTACAGCAAAAACGTATAACTTAATAATGCGTAACGCGTTACTTCCATTCGGTTTGGATGTTAAACGAGGCTTTAACCGCGCGAAGAAATATGCGGTCGATTCCAGTTTCTTGCCCAAACGGAACACGCAACGGGAAGAATTGATTTCCCTTTCGTTTCTGCTTTTTCTAAATTAATCTCATTAGCGTAAGGAAACAATCGTTTTGCGAAAACGTTTGCGATCCAGACGTTGGTGAAAGTAAAACCCGAGAAGACGTTAGCAGTTTTAAATTACAATGTTACGCTCGAGTCGGTTTTCTCGTTGCGTTTCGACGCAATCGGGGGTCCTTTAGATCATAATTAACGGAGATTTTGCGACACTTATATATCCCATGAATTTTTTAATGCTTTTTGTTTATTAGCCCCTTTGCATTTTGATTCCTTTCTGAACCGTAACACATCTAACTACTTTGTTATTAATAATTCATTCGAAACAAGAGAAAATTCTTATTCCATATCAACGTCTGCAAGCTATAACTATTAATAAAGGAGAAATAACATGTTTGTATTCAAGCAAATTGAATAGGATTTGTTTCCAAAATATCTCGTTTCAAATTAATCGCGAGCGGGTTAATACGAAATAATAAAGCTTCCTTATTCTTAGCTCATTTTTAAAATTTAACTCATTATTCAGGTTTGAATTCGAAATTCTCTAAGAGATCTTCGCCTGATGTTGACAAATTTTATCGTGTTACGGGACGTTTCGACGGTTAGAGAAAGTTCGGAAATTTCTGGGGGAATATTTATTGTATCTGTTTGGCAGCGGCTATCTTTACTGGGAAAACCAATGTTTCGTGCTCTGCACGTATGTAGATCACCGCGAGTTGTACTTTGACGTAGTTATTACGTAATCAGATAAGCTCATTCGGTTTTCCTGTCATTTTATTATCGTTTCAATCATTTTAACCTTTCGAGTAGTCGCCAATTTTCTAGTCGTACGTTCTCAACGTGACCTATGACGATCGTTCTGTATTTCGTAGAAAATCTGATTCCCTTCGACGAAGAAGTGATCGTAGCTGAATTTAAATTTAAGATTATCTTTTATCGTAGCTTTTCGTAGGTAATTAATTACAAAGAATTCAAATTAAACGCGGAATAAAAGGAATAATAATAAAGACACTTCAGAAAACAGAAGTCAATTTTATTCGCATAAGTGGATTAAACCTTTGCACTCGAGGGGCGCCTTACAGTCGCCATCTGATTCGACGCAGCAAACTTATAAAATTTTCAATTCAATATTAAACCTTGTGTAATATATCAACACATAAAACATCGAAGTAAAATAGTTCTGTCTCTTAATTTATAGAAGATAATCAATCGTGTTAGTTGCGAAAAATATCGTTAATATTTAGTCAGAAAATAATGAATATTATTAATGAAAAATATTACCGACTGCAAAAGGTTAATATAATAATTTGCCGCGTAAAAGGAGACTCGACTGAAAAAGGACCGCGTAAATAAAGAAACGATCGTAATCCCAATTAACGCACGAAACCGTCTAAACCTTCGTTCAAGTTTCAGTTCCGTTTCGCTACGCCCAATGCCCGCAATAAACACACAAACCCCGCAGATCGATGGAAAAAAGAGACGATCGAACGAAACCCTACCCCGACCGCCTTCGAAGCAGCGATTCCCATTGAAATAACAATGTATATATTTCTAGCTGTCACCGGAGTACTTGTCCGTCTTACAATACGCGCAGGAGCAACCGCAGCCTGCGCCGCCGCAGCCGCAGCGCAGACCGCAGCCGGCTTACGCGAGGCAGCAACAAGCGTTGCAGCAAGCTTACTACAATTTCCGCAAGCCGACGGTAGTGCCGCCCAGGCCCCGTCCCCAGCTTCACCCTCAAGCGCTGGCCCAAGCGGAGGTGGCCGCGGAAATCCAAGCTCAGGTCGACGCGCAGAACCGCGCCGAGGCGATACGCACCGCTCGCTTAGGCTCCAGCGCATCAGCCTCGAACACGTACCAAGTGCCGGCCTACGGTCAGCCGAAACTAGGAACATTCGAGCAAGAACTGCTGCAGCTGGTGTCCGCGAATCAGGCGCAAGAATTCAAGCTGCTCCCGACCCAACCGAAAGGCAGCACGTCTGCCTACTCCCAGCAGCTGGTTAGCTACCCTTCGCAGTACGCGAAGCCGACAGCGGCCCCTCAATTGCCAGAGCAATACCACATCGAGACATCCCCTCCACGGTACCACCAGCCCCAACCAGCAGTAGCCTACCAATCAGTGGAGGAGCCTCTTCCGTACCAAGCGCAACCGGCGAAAGCGTACGGTCCGTCGCCTCAATACGACTACGCGGCGGACGAAGCGCACCTGAAAGCCCTGGAACAGGCCCAAGCGCAGGCGCAAGCTCAAGCTCAGGCTCAGGCATTAGCATTCCACAAGGCGGCGCAAGCGGAATACACGCAGCACAGGCAGAACGCCCTGGAGCACATCAGGCAGACCATTGAAACGGACAAGCAGCGTACCGCGCTGGAGCAGATCCAGCAAGGCACGCAGATCAGCGACGCCGGTCGCAATTACCTGCAGGAGCAGCTGCAACCGAAGAGCGCCGATGCCGCTTACAGAGCTAAGGTCAAGGCTCAGACAACCGCAGAGGTAGCGGAAGCCAGGAAACTGCAACAGGCCGAGGAGTTCAAGGCTCACGCGGACGCTATCCGGAAGCTAGAGGCACAGCAGAGGGCTCACTTGAAGATCCAGGAGGAGGTGCGCAACTACGCGTTGAACTTCGAGCAGAATCAGATGAAGGCTCAAGAGCTGGCGCAGGCACAGGCGGAGGCGCTGTACAAAGCTCAGCTTCAGGAGCGCAACGAGGTCAACAAGCAGATCATCGCTATTTCAAAGGACCAGGTGGAAGGCAAGAAAGTTGACCCCAATTCGCCCGTCTACCACTACACCCTGCAACCCAGCAGCACGCCTCTGCCCCTGTTGAACAGCTACTTCACGAACGATGAACTGCAGAAGTACCAAGCGTCTGGATCCTCCTATGTACCCAGATCCGTACCTAAACCCGACGGCCCCGTCGAAACTGTGCAGGCGCAACCCGCGATCACGCAGCCCCGTCAGCCGCACAAGCTGAAGCTCCCTCTGTCCCCGCAATCTGTGTACATCTCCGAGTCAGGCTTGCTGAAGAAATCGCCCGTCAAGTCGATAACCATCGAGGAAGTCGAGGACGCGAACAGCCGTCAGGTTTACCAAGCCGTCACGCCCAAGCCGCGCACGCTGTCCGAGGAGGATCTGTCCGCTCTGATCAACGCCGGCTACACCGTGACGCCCGTCCCGCAGACCGCGAAATCCGATCAGATATTCGCGGTCGAGAACACGTCCGCCGCCTACTACACGAAGAAACAGAAACCTCCCCCGCGACCCGAATACGTCTCCTACGAGGAAGTGATCCAACGGCCGCGCAAACTGCTCAGAAAAACTAGGCCGATCCTCAAGCAGAACGACGGCGAAGTCGACGCCAGCGAGAAAGTCGCCTACCTGCTGCCGTTGGAGGCCGCTTTCGGCACGAGACAGCCGCCGCTCAAACACGAAGAGTAAGCCGGGCACTATGATGCTACGCTCGCCCCGCATCGCAGCAAGTATTAATAGACGCAACGTTTTCTAACTGAATTATTACGCAGCCGCGCGGAAGTGTTCGGAAGACGATGTCGCTTGTCATTGGACTGGACGAGGATTCGAGAGTAGTCTTGGTTCTAGGATGTTTTGGGGGAGGATCGAGGACACTGTACGGGAATCTTAGTAGAATCGAGTAACGTGTGGTTAGGTTGGGCAAGGTTTATTAACTCTTTGCACTCGAGAGGTGACAAACAGTCGTCACTTCGTTTGAAATTACAAAGTTTGATGTATGATATTGAAGTTCATTTAACGTAATCCATGAAACGTTAGAATAGAATCTCTTGATTTCTGTATCGTTTATGTTAATGTCAGTTATAAAACCTGCCATTGATATTTCATTGGAAAATGAAGTTGATTGTTTAGTATTCTAAATGAAACTTTCTATTGCTATGTGAAATATTTAAAGAAAATAGCTTTGTCGTTTAATTTACCTGTGAATGATCGTTACATTAGTTTCAAACAATGTCATTTATACATGGTCGGAAAATGTTGAATATTTTGAAAAACTCTCGAGTGCAAAGGGTTAACTCTTTCGCTGCGAGGTTTGGACGTATCTGAATCGATGCTAAATTTGAATTTAGAAATATATATTTGTTACAATACAATAAAATTTAGAAGAAATATGTCGTTTGCATGACATACAGTGTTAATTTACAGTTAACATTGTCAATGTGTTAATACAGAATGTGTCGTATAAAATACTGGAAATATCAGCATTCAGTTTTTTATGGACCTGTGACACATTTAGGAAATCTGGTGGTCTATTATCGCAGTGGAAGGGTTAGGTTGAAAGTTTTGTTGCCTTGGGAGTGTTTCAACGGTAACCGTAGGTTGTGCGCATTAAAGAATTCACGATTCGAAGTTGATGACTGCTTTGTTGCTGTTAGTAGCCTGAGGTAATTGTCCACTGAGTAGAGTGACTTTGATGTGGCAGTCGAGTTTCGAGACTGCCATAGTTTATTAATGTCCAGGTACAAGACACAGATACCTTTTTTTTCGTAACTCTTTTTCTTCATTCGTTTCTCCACCTTATCTTATAAATGCTCTATGGTATTTGAGTGTGGACTTCATGGTTGACGTGGCAAATGTACGTGGCGGGTTACATAATGACCATTCTTTGACATCGTTTCCTAGTTGCGTTAGATCGTTATCCTAATGGAAGTAATAATTTGCTGGTAAACGTAACTTTGATCTTTGAAATTTTCCTGTAGAACTCTTGAACATTTAACTTTATCTTCGATCCCATCGATCAGCACAATTAACCCCTTCTCCTATAACATCGAGTCAGACTCGCGATGAAAATTTTCAACTGAATTCAGCAAATCTGAACGTCATTTATTTAGTTTGTATATAAATGAAATGTTACTTGTGTATTATCAAGCTTTAATCTTGAGAGTAAACACAGACATTAACTAAACATCGAGTTCTTCTCTTTTTCTACTGAATTCTTAACGATAAAGTAGATTGATCGAGCACAGTTGCGAAAGAAGTCATAAGACAAGGGGTTAATTATTATTTTTAATGGCTTTTTAAATAATCGTTCTTGCAGGCACTATTATTTTAAGCTAATTCAGTTCTAACTCGATTTTGTATCATTCGAGTTCCCCGAATACGTTCTGTATCCAGTGCACGAAATATTTCCGAAATTTAAAAGATCGCAACGATCCTCGTCCATTTCAATTATGAATATATTGACGTTCGATTACTTTCATGTGTATGTGTAGGTCTCGCATTTTGGTTTGTCATACGTGTTTTTCGATTACGTGTTTTATCTATTGCAGAGGTGTGCGAATTTTTAAGTCGAAGATTGTATTTTAACGATTCGCCTGTTCTCCGACGGAACACCAAGAAATTGCCGAACGTTATTTATAAACGATTTATGACAAAATTGATAAATCTCTGAGCCTAATTATTTTTTCTCGATTCATAATTTCGATGTTTGTTTCAGTTACAGAAAGGATAAATGAGAAATAATCGGATCGCGGATTTGACGGATTACCGTGAAATAAACAATTGAATGAACTTTCGTTCTTATATTATTCATAATTAAATAGGACTTTTGATAAAGGAAATTTTATGTATCATTTCTTAAACAATCGTAGTTTAGAAATGTTATTTTCTCTAACTTCCCTCGTAGTTCGAATTTAATAATTTGCAATATCTCTGTAGTTTCAACCATCCGTTGTTCTTAGAATATTAACCTGTTTACTGGTGATAAGGAATTCACGTTCCTTGTATTCTTGATCATGAATTTCGATGAATTTTATTATTCCAAATTTATCCATGTAAAGATTCTTCCATATCGTTTCATCCTACCCTTTATAAAATACACTGAAAATATGATTCATTTCGTTTCATTTTACCCCTTCTAAAATATACAAATACGCCTGAACTCCCAATAAAATTTATTCATAATTCAATCGAGCACATACATTCACACCTTATATTCGTAAAATACATTTGCATCTACCTGTGTAGCGGTGAAGAATAAAAATAGCATTAATTAAAGGGTTCAATTGCATCCACGGTATAAATTAAAACATTAAAACCATTATAAATTGTATTGTACTGTTTATTGCAAGAAATTCTTTTTTATTCTTCCATTCGATTAACACTAAACGATCGTTCTCAAAATTCGATTTCAAATTCTGTGTCTCCTTTCGTTCGTCTAACTTTATATCAATTTCTATATCACCGATTAATCAGATTTTCAATGTTCGTAGTTTCTTTACGTCTTTTTTCACTAAGAAAAATTGATCGCTTGATTTGATTACTTTCATTTTATACTCAGTCATTTCAATGATACGTTTAGTGTTAACGACGAAGAGTTCACAAACGCAGTCACTCGTCGGACAGGTTAATTTCGCGATATGTTTTGTACTTGAAACGAACACAAAAAGATTTCGCGTCTCGTTTCGCAGGTTATGTAATCACCGATGATTATATTGTCAGTTGCCAATTAATATATCATTATTCCGTTTCCATCGATTTAATGAATTCGATATATCTCCCGCGCATTCGGACGGGAATGAAACGTATTCGTTAATAAAGTGTTTGCATGTTCCGTTGTGCAGTATAACAACTATTAATTTTAGCGTAGCAATGATTTTACTCTTCCTAGTTTCAATGCGGACGAGTCCTTCCGTATCCTTCAACCTATATTTCTCGTTGAACGTTCAATGTTGCGTACTCCTTCGAGCTACGATTGAGTCAAGCATATTGATTGACATGGAAAAATACGTGAAAAATTCCGCACGAAAGTTTCGAACCGGTTGTTTCGTGCTCGTAAAGCCAGCAGGAAGACGACTCGAAGCATGGAAACGACGACGAACTTCGTCGCTTTTAATAATTCCTTGGTTATTGCACGGTGTCAATCAAGATGAGTGATCGAATTGAGGCGCCGCTCCACGGAGCGTGAATGTAGATCGTGGAACTACCAATTTTCTAGCGTGAATAAGTACACCAGTACACACTTTACGCAATATTATTTGTAGATGGTATGTGCGACGGTGCTAAGTCGAGTAATTATTAATTTATACCTACTATTTGTATATACTAGATTTTTACTTAATAAAACAGTTCAAAAGTCCCGCTTCGTGATATCCTATATACTTTATTTCCATCAAATACCCGATGTGCGTCGACGAATTTTCGTGTTTAATAAATATTTGGAAATTATTTTCAAGTGTTATGTTATTTACATCGTTTAGAAATTAATCAAAATTTTTCTCCGTGCCGAATTTCGAAGGGGTGAGACCGCCCCTTGGAGGAAATGCAAATTTTCCTGTCTGGTGGATCATCTTGAGAACGGTAAGAGATAGTGGAGAAAAGATTAAACGAAATATACATAAAATTGTAAAATAAAATTTTTAAAACTTTGAACTTTTTAAATAGTTTTATTGATAGGACTGTGAAGTGAAATTTATATTGAAATTTCATAATATTCATGTAATATTGATTAATTAATGGAATTATGTTTGAGTTAGTCTAATTTTGTAACATAATAGATATAATTGAATTGTGTAACATTTTGAATTTTAAAGATTCGTGAATTTTAATTGTAACAGGTATCGCATTTTTTAAATTTAAAAGCGAATTTAAATAATAAATTAATAGTTCACACATGAACTAATTTACTCTCTCTAATTTACCTCTAATTTACAAATAAAAACTTGGTAGTCTCCTTAAAAGAGGAGTGTAGTAATAATTTCGTTTAAAATGGAGTTCGAACCAATTAAAAATCACAAATTTATCATCCTAGAGGCACATTTCAGAAAAATATGAAGAATATGTCGCCCGTGGTAGTTTATCACTTCGAATGCGGCTGATTAATGTGTCTCTTTATCACTTGCTGCCTTTACATTCAATGATCACAGATGGCAGTACATTATTGCCTGCTTTCACTCACCGTTCCCTTTCCTGAACGTCAATTTATATTAAATTATTCTGGAACGTTGGTAATGTATATTTGAAACCGGAAAATGCGCACGGAAATGCGCGTGAGACATTTTGCCAATATTCAATACATTCTTCTAACAAAAATTGCAAATATTTATAGTGTACAAATTTATATTTCACATATTTACATTTATATTGTACATTCCACAAAAATTTATATGTTACAAATATTTTGAGAAAAGGAGAAGATAGTAATTTTTGTAGCAGTCCAATCGATTTTTTATTATTTTTGATTATTAGAGCTATTAATATCGATAATAATCTATTATTATTAGTTCCATGATTCCAAGCTATAAAACTATAAATATTCGTATAAATCTGCAATTTAATAATTGCAACTACACTCGAAGAGTATAATTTCATAACAATGTAATTAATACTGTCAGAATATGGGATGCTACGAATATAACGACTAATCAGTTAGAGTACTAAGAAACAATGACTTGAAGAGGACTAACAAAGAACACTGTAAGTACATTTCGTACATTAAGTACACTCAGCTTTATTTCTGTTATTAAAAGAAAAATTCGTCATTTAAACGAGATTCTAATTTATAAAATAATATATTTACGAAGTAGTATAAACTTATAATATAGTACAGATTAATTAAACACACATTTATACTCAATGACAATATAAAAATTGGTACTATACTGTTATTTAGCTTAATTTTTATTCAATTAAACATAATTGAAGCAACTTCTGGACAACATAGTTTCTATGAAATTACTCGCAAAGCTTTCGAAATGTTTATGTTTAACACTAGGTTTACAGAATGCGTCAATGTGACGCACACTAATTTTTATAAACATCATTTGTTAAACGTTCATGTTGATTTTTATTGATGGAATTGCACGAATATCCTGAATGTCTGTTTTAAATAATTCGATTCTCGTAACTGTCTTCAATTCTGTGTTAGAAGTAGAAATCTTCCAATGATGCCAGTTTACGGGCACTATATTTACAATTATTCTTCAAAGTATATAATTATGTCTATTGGGCATACCCTCGACGGACAATAAATTCCCTGCGCCATCAACTGTCATGTAGCTCTATACGTAATCACTTTTGTGTTGTACCTCTCACCATTTCAATTGTATATTACTCTATTTAGTATTATTTGTCACATTACCAGACATTCGTAATTACTTAATTTTTACTATTATTCGGTCTTCCTCGTACATAATTTTTTACAAAATATTTACTGAAAATTATCATTTTTGACAACCATTTACGGAAAATTATAATTTCTTACAAAATATTTACGGAAAATTGTAATTCTTGACAACCACTTACTAAGTTCTTCGATCCTCTAAACATCTTTCATTAGTGTCGTCAACGTTGCTCCATGTTTGGGAGAAAAATCGAGAATTTTAAAATGGCTGGGAACGTTACTATTGAAAATGGATCAGCAATTGATTCATCGAAATGCCACTGAATCATAGTTCCTGCATTTTACCGTGGAAATTACTATCCCACACTTTTCTCACAAGGACGGCCTCGATGAACCTTGCTCACGGTAATTTCTACAATTTCTATTGCTTTTATTATGAAATGCTCCATAGACTTACACCCACTTAAGATTCGCGCACGTAACATTCATTGCATGACTGCAATCAACGTGTTAAAGTCAATATAAAGATAAAGATCTAGAACAGCAACGCACAATTTTTTCTACATTGTTTTATAGACATTTACTTTGCAGAACCATTGTTGAAAGAAGTATATGTTAATCGTAACATTTCGACATTTCCTCGGACTACCAATTTATACAAACGTCTAACGACAGAAAAATATGCGTAGAAATAATTGAATAATTATTAGACTACGGATATCTATACAAATTCAAATTCTTTAAAAACACAATTAGAAAAATGGAATAAAAATCACAAATAACTTTCCCTAAGAAATATTTAACACTACAACTACCGACTGGGTCAAAATTACCCACTGTTCAATTATTCTTTTACAGTTATTGAAAAGATAGCAGATGCTTAGCGAAATTACTGAAGAAATCGACTTAGTAACACGCGAGTTGAATGATTCAATTGAAATCTCAACAGCTGTGGTCTTAGAGTCTATACAAAAATTTGAAAACTTCAATTTAACTGCTCGGTGGTTCTATTGTTGAAAAAGCATCATACTCTAGACATTTTATGTATTTCCTTGTATTGTATAAACTTGTATCACCAGTGTGACACGATATTACAGGAAAAAGTGCTAAAAACGTTCGATTGTCTTCAATTTCACGGGAGAAACGATATACTTCTTCTCTAACAAATCTATACGTGCTCCGACATCATGGCCGCCGATACAAGCAGCCGAAGGCGTTCCCGAGTCTTTTTCCGCAGCGTTTTCGTTCGATAACGGATTAACATTGGCATTCACCGAAAAAAGGTAGGAAAAACTCACCGACAACAGATTCGCGCCGTTATGTAAGAAAGTGTTCCACGGTGCAATTAAACCCCGTACACATCGATTCGGAATAGTCCTTGCTCGACTTATGTCGGCCCGGTACAACTTTCTCTCTCACGCTGTGACATAATCTTTTGAACAGCCGGAGAGTTGAAACCTGGCTGCGCATTGAAAACTGGTCTAGTTTCGTTTATTATTACCTACAGTGCAGACATGTCGGGGAACTGTTGCAACTTTGCTATACTGCTGATGACCATCTTCTTGGCGATAGCGTACACGACGCCTCTTCAGGTAACGAAACCGCGCTAGATAACTACATAGCTTCTCCGCGTAATTCTAAATAACACCGTTACGTACTTCATTCAATTATTACCTTGGTATTCTGACTTCGACTTGTGCATTGTCGGTCATTTATTCGACGCGATTTAGTCGAATGCGTTTTCCCGAATCACGCTTTCGATTACGATTTATTTCAATACTCTTTTCAAATTACACTTGGAACATTGATTTATTTGAATGTTTCTTTCGAATTACGCTTGCGATTACGATTTATTTGAATGTTCTTTTCAAATTACACTTAGAATTTTGATTTGTATTGATATTTCTATCAAATTACGCTTACCGTTAGAATTTATTTAAACGTTTTTCCAGGTTATGCTTACAATTACGACGTATTTGAACATTGCGAGTCGTTGAAACTGTTATTCAGTGGAATGAGATTATACGATGGTATCGATGCTTTGATATCGTTATTGTTTCTTTCATTTTGATATGTTTCGAGCTTCTTCGGAAAGAGAATAAACAAGTTCATCACATTTCCTTGTTTTTCGGAATAATTGAGATTGCGTGATAAAATTTTGTGACTGTGTAGTAATACGATGTCTTGAGATCATTTGTTCCTTAGGAAATTACAATTATTGGTACTACGGGAATGAATTAATATAATTGCAACAAGGTAGTTAAAGATACACTTTAAAATTCATTTTCATCGTTTCTTAGGATAATGTACGGTGATAATGAGTACAAATTTAGTATAATGATTAACTTTAACGATCGAATTAATTCATTGTACGTATATTCCGATCGTTTGATATGTGAATTACTGGAAACGACTTTGTATCGTACATTCACTTCCTTTCTATCCGTTAGCCGAGATATAACATTGAAGTTGAATCAATTCGATGTTAAATATGCGAAATATCTCGGTTCAGGTAATGTACATATGCAAATATTACAGTACCCCTAAGTATCGAAAGTTCATATTCTAGATAATACGTTTCATTCTAGATTTTAAACGTGTCAAAATATTGTAGATAATCTATAAACAAAGTACAAAAGGAAGGTATTATCTCTTTGAGGGGATTAAGTTATTTTATTTTGATCATTTCAAAACCAAATGGTTTCAATTTAATTATGAACATTATTTAATGCAGGCATCTTGACAGTTGTCAAATCTATAATCATATTATATAATAATCTTTTAAGCGAATACGAGACACGAAAATATTTATAAAATATTTTCTTGAAGTACATTATAATATTTCCGTGTTTTCTATTTCGGGTATTTCTGAAATATTTTACAAACATTTACAAATGTTACAATTACAATATTACAGTATTTTATATTTATGAATATTGTATAAATATCTTCTTGAAATACAATACAATATTTCCAAATTTTCTATCTCGAATATTTTTTAAGCAGAAATATGACACCCTGTACAATATGCTTTCAATATTTTCCACAATATTCACTTATATTTATATACAGATTTCTCCATTTGTCTTGTTCAATAACACACGTAATTAAATTACACAATATTAACACTTCATGTTTCACCTAATATGAAATCATCCCAAGAAACATCGACAAATCTTACAGCATTAGTAAACATTTCTATTTAAAATTTCAAAACTTGGTTTTCATTTCTTTAGTATCGTATAGTGGTCGACGATTATGGTTACAACGACTATCGAAGCTATCAACCGCCCACAAAATTCGATCGACCGATAGTCGTGAAGGCCTTAGAGAAACCGAAAAACCAGCAAGACTTTAGCAAAATTCCGGGTATACCCGGCGTAGACTTTCCTTTGTATCACACCGTACCGCCGACAAGTTTTTCCTGTGCGCACGTTCCATTCGCGCCGGGAATGTACGCGAACGTGGAAACCGGTTGTCAGGTAATCTGCTTGGTTCTAATTCGTTTCATTAATTATTTATGTAAGCCCTGGCAAGGGTTGAAGAAGAGATTGTTTCAAACAAAATAACAAATCGAGGGCCTGAACGTCTACTTCTCGCCGCGGATCGGATAGCTTTCCCGTGTAAATTCATTGGAAGTTCAGTCTCCGAGTCGGAAACGGCTGGCATTGATTAAAATTTATCGACTTCCTTCTGTTCTAACGCAGGAGAGATCTTAATTGATCGCATTGACAGTACAAGATGGATAAAAACGCTTGGAAGCCTGTCTGAATATTCGTTTTTCTAGAAAGTTCTTCCGTTGGGAACGAATCGAACGTCGATAGAAGTTTATTGTATAAATTGATATGTACAGATTAAAATTTTATTGACAGAAATTCATGTATATTATTTTGTTGAAAAATGTGAACTGATGTTATATGATATTCACGAAAATGTTTGAAGCAATTTCGACGGTTCGTCGTGAGAATGATTTTAATAGATATTGAATAATTATCAAGTTAATTCTTTTATTTGTTATCAAGTTTATTTGTTTATCAAATCATATATTAAATCATTTATTAAGTTGTATTATTTCATATAAATTTTTAAATATCAATTTTAAATATGTAATAAATGAAACTTTTGATTGAGACTGCAAATAATATATATTTCCGGTGTCCTTAATATATTAATTTAATTTGAATTTATTTATTGAACAATGTGAGAATGTCTGTGTCTCTGTCTTAGTCGAAAATGAAAGAAATGAATAATGTACCCGAACGTTGCAGGCCTATCACATTTGTCATGATGGCCGTGAAGGTCATCAAGGTGCATCTTTCCTATGCACGAACGGAACTCTCTTCAATCAACGAGAATTTGCTTGTGATTGGTGGTATAACGTAAACTGTGCTGACGCTCCATCGTTGTACAAGTATGCTCTTATTATTAAAAATTAAATGCATGATTTTTCAATAAGTAATAGAATATTTAAAGATGATTAGTTTGAGTGTCAGGAAGCAATATAAGAATGACGTAAAACATCTATTTATCTATTTATCTATTTATCTATATATTTATATATTTATAAATATATACTCTTAAAAAGCTTTTTTATTCGGAAAAAAATTTGTTGTCAAATGGTTGTAACATCGATTACGATTTCTTACTTTTATTTTATTCATTTCAGCATAAACTTAGATCCGGACAAGAATCCTTACTTGCCAAAACAAAAAAAGGAGGCGCTGCCAAAGCACATGAGGATCGTTGTGGTTTAAAGTCCGTAAACCTGGTGTTGCAAAATATCAAACCTATTTTGACACGAACTACTGAATTGCTACTTATCTGAATTGCTACTTTGTGGATTGTTCTAAAAGTATGAGAACACCGGGAAAATCACCGGGCAAAAATATTGACAGTTAAACATATAAAGTTCAAAATCCAAACCACGTTATTCAAACTTAATTAAGAAGTTAATAAAGCATTGGATAGTTTACGTATTTTCTCTTTGCTTAATGGTTGTTTAATGAATGATCTTTATATGTGCAAACAAAATTATATAACTTTAACCTTATTCATCGTTAAAGTGATTGTACTAGTATGTCTTCCTTATCACAATATTTCGAAAATCGAAAAAACATGTTAAATACTGTTTGAGATTTAAACAGCGTACTTCGAAAACAGAAGCTTCAATTATCAACTGTCAATATTCCAGAAACTACGAATTTTTATTGAATTTTGTGGTCCATATATTTGGGACATTTTTCATGTATCAGCAGTTCAAACAACCATTTCGATGGAATATGTTCGTCATATTTTTAGTTCCGTTGAACTCCATAATTTCTTAATATTAAAGATAATTATACCAAATAGAATTGACTAAGAAATATTAAATCCTCATCGTAAAGCTCAGAGTGGTAAATTTTTCTATGAACATAATTTTAGAATCTGGTAAAAATTTTCATTGACCTTATGGAAACAATAATATTTCTATAATCAAATCCATGTATACGTTATATCACTTATTCAGTAATATTATTTCGATACATCATCTCACTATATTATATACCAATTTTTGCTCAATGTAATACACACTTGAACTCTGAATGAACTTTCTACTGCATGCAAACGAAAAGCAATTGTATTTATATGTTAACCATTATGTATATACAGATTTTTATGGTTAATAAAAGGATTGTTATGAAAGTATAAAATAAAATCACATTTGTCATGGCAAACACTCGAGTAACGGTATAAAAGAAAATTCATACGAAATTTAGTAAGTAACTTTTTTATATGGTAAATACGAAACGTTGGGAATAAATTATGTAAATCCAAGTTATGCTTCTGTTCTGAAATTCATGTAACTAAATATCCTTATTATTTAAGTGGAACAATTTCCTCTCTCAATGTACATACTTATATAACGAAGTCATTGAAATTTAATAGTCCTGTGGGATTACTGTTTAAACTGTTAAATATTTATAACACATATAATCTAGTTGATTTGAATTAAAAAATATATACAGTGTAGGAAGTGATAGAAGGAAAATCGAAAAATTGTAAGATTAATTTGCTACTGTTGCTAATACCACTTTATATCATTTTATTATTTTTCTTATGACACTTGAATAACAAGGGTATTTTTTAGTATACCTCTTACCATTTTTAAACAAAATGTACTCGAATATTTACGTTTATCAAACTATGTATCTCGTTTTACGAAATTCTTTTGCGATATAAGGATAATTTAAAATTTCCATCAGCATTGACATTAATAGTTGAAATAACTACAGAATTTAGGAAATCTAAACTTCCTTTACTGTTCCAGACATCTTTTATGTTACAATCTTTGCGTAAATTTATTACTTAGATCAGAGTGGTCACACAACGTAAGTATATTAATCTATCTATTGTTACACATCTTATCAGCTTGAATAGAGTTTAAGATATAATTTATTGATTTTCTCGTTTACATTGTACCGTACTCCACCATTCGCAACGCTTCTTCGTTTCGCTGAATGCAGTGCCTGCAGGGCAAAGTGTAGCAGTCCTCGACCAACTAGAGCAGTCATAGAAAACCTAAAAAGAAAAATGATGAATCTATAGGGAATTGTAATAATAACTTTCAAGTTGTAATATATTTCAATTTTGTCTAACTGGGTCAAATGAGTTTTGGCTAACCTCTTGCCCCATGATTACTTTGTTATTAATGATTTATTGAAACTAAGAGAAAATTCCAATTTTATTCTATGTCAACGTGTGTTCTAATAATCATTGACAACAGAGGAATAATATGCAATTTGCTTTCAAACAAATTGAATAATATTTATGTTTGTTAAATTCTCTTTGAAATCTTCACGAGTCTGACACGATATTGTAGGGCAACGGGTTAAATGCGTCACCCTGTATGATCACGAGCAGAAACACTTACCTGGCAATAAGTTTCAACGTCTGCAATCATACCCCTTCTGCCATTACATGCGAAATTAGTTTCCGGAATGCTAGTGAGATTCGTGTAACGAGAAACTGTATTATCGACATCGAATTGTACATTCTGATAAGACGTTGCTTTCGAATTGGCACCAGTGTTTCTTGCTTCTTGTTTCCTAATTGATGGATGATTATTACGATTCGACTTCGCCGAGTAAGGCTGGATGTGTCTCGAAGATCGTTCGTGAAACTTATTTAGGAATCCTTGGTAGTCGCTTATTATCTGTGCATAAACAACATTTCACCATTTTTTACGACTGATCAGTTAAAATTCTTGAGATTCCCGACATTCGATGGAGATTAATGTTTAATATTCTTATGTACTATCAAATTTCTTGCAAGACTACTTGCTCAATTAGAAACGAAATTCCTCTTGCAACTTTAATGATTTCCGTTTGAATAGTGTATTGTAGTGCAAAATAATTGTTAGCTAGGCGATGGGAGTGTCATTCGCTTTAAAGACTGCTTGCATAGCTTGTGATTAACACGGACATAGTTTGTAAATTCATAATTGTCTTCAATATTGAAGATGTTAAAGGAGAACTAAGCAAGCTCAATACAATGCAATTTTTTTCGTACCGAATTTCACTTTGAAGGGTGAAACCACCCCTCGAAAAAGATGCAAATTTTTCTTTCCCGTGGATTACCATGAGAACGGTAAGAGGTAGCGAAAAAAAGTTTAAACAAAAGATGCATTGTTCTTTCACGTTTATAAAATCGTAAAATAAAATTTTTCAAAATTTTTTAAGGGATGATTTAACCCTTTGCACTCTGCAGTTTTTCACTGGAAATATTTTAACACTTGATGACGAGATAAAGACGATATTTCTTGAAAGTAACTCGAAGGTAAATCACAAGTACATTGAAGAACAAAGCTATTTTATTCAAATATTCCACGTATCAAAGCATCGTACAAAGTTCAACATTAAATATTAAATTTTATAGTTTTACCGCGTCGAATCAAATCTGAGAGTCGCTTTTCGAGTGCAAAGGGCTTAACAGAAAATTTATTATTACCGTAGAAAATCGTTTTTAACGATGTTGCGTGATCGCAATGCCAGCGGAAATCTGAGCAAAGATAAAGGAACGCGGCCTCTGTAAGGCCGCTTTCACACGACGATGGACGTATCGCGAACCGCGGACGCACGATACGCGTGTGAGATAGACGCTCGAGAATGAAATGTATCTCTTTTGTTTTTCTCTCGATTAATCGTCTTTCGTTCAACACTGGAACTACCGCGCCCGTCAAAGTGACGGTTTTATTTTCTTATTTCGTGATTATTGATATCTTCGAAGCGTTACGATGAAACGAAGTATTTTCTCAACGCGTAGAACGCCATGGAGGTCACCGGTGACCTTCAACCGTTTACATTACTATAGTTCACTCAATTAAACGATGAGTATTTGAAAACATTCCTATGTTACGCATAATGCTACCTAATGCGGTGATATTCAGCTGGATAAATGTGCTTGGTTTGAGATAATATTTATTCTAATTTTTTAGAATATTCTGAATATATGTATATAAAGTGTATTCCAATTGTATATAATCAATAATCATATAATCCCGAAAAAAATCCTGGACTATGGTGGACGTTTTTCCCAGGGGACCCTGGTAGAGAACGAGTTAATTTTATGTTGATAATTAGCTATAATAGTAGCTAAAATTAGTGTAAATTCTGCTCCAGAAAATTGTTAGCCTTTGTTTTACAATATTTCTATCTTTTTCATAAATTGGGGGATGGCTATTAACATTAAGCTTAAGGATTGTATATTGTACAAGTATAAAGAAAGTATTGTACAATGTATAATCCTTAAGCATAATTTTTCTTTAAGTATAAGGAAAGAATTAAAGAAAGAAGAACTCGTATTAAATGTTACCGATAATATCAAGCAGAAATTGGGGCTGCAGCACCTATGCAAGCTGTTGCTAACTGTACATCTCGAACATGAAAGTTTGATGTTCTTAAAATGCCTAAATCCGTCCTCGAAGGTTTCAACTCAGTGCCCATCAATTGTACACCGTGTGAAAGCGGTCTGAGTTCGCATGAGCAACGAATAAAACCGGGGAAGCTATTCGTCCGATTAAATTTGCCAGATAGGGCTGGCATGCATACAATCTGCTGGACGTATCAACGGGAGTGCGCGAAGTGATGCAACGGTTAACGCCGCGACAGATGCTCGCGAGGTTCTCCAGATGAATTCCGCGAAGAAAGGAAAAGGCGTAGCGGCGAGTTTCGCGTGCGATTTGCATACCGCGAATGTGCAGGTGCGAGTGCGGCGCGTTCCCGTGTATGTATGTGCATAGCCACACTTTTAACCGTGTCCTGAGAACAGGACGACTGGACGGTCTACCTCTTCTCACAGTCGGTAATCCTAGAAAATTGCGGTCTACATAAACGAACCGGGTAAACTAGCGTCTCGTGTGTCGACACGCGTTTTTCTTGGCCAGTCTGTGGTCTTCTACTCGGAGGTAGTTAGGAAAGACGAGGTTCAATGTATACCTGACCCTACATTTACGCGAAAATCTGTTTTACGTCGATTCGGTTTATGGGAATTTGTGTAAATGGAGTCTGTATGAGAGAAAACGAAATATGAGAGAAGGTGGTATAAGTATTGGAAGTAATATTGATTTAATATTGATAATGATAATATTGATGTTGGAAATAATATTGATAATAGTAATATTAATCTTGGAAATAATATTGAGAATGATAATTTGATGTTGGAAATAATATTGATAGTAATAATTTGATGTTGGAAATAATAATGATATTAATGGTAATGATATGAAAAATATTGATTTCACATAAGTACACGAAAGAAATAATAATAATGACAATTCAGAAAATTAGTCAGTATTAATTCAGATCGAGTAAATTAAGATCACGCATAAACACTACCGCGTAAATAGTTAATAGTTATCCTACAAAAAGGAGATTCGTGTAAAAATGTGCCGTGTAAATCGAAGATTAGATATACAGTGTTGGTCAGATGTTGGACCGGTCTCGGTTCGATTAAATATTCTTTGGTTGTTTATTATGTTCGACCACGTGTCACATATTAGGCCTGCCGGAAGGTTCTGTTTCATAATGTCATCTCGAGATTCCGAAGATGACTCATTCTACAGAAATGGAATCCACAAATTACCATTTCGTTGGGAAGAGGCCATTGGTAAAGATGGAAATTATATTCTTCAATAAATATTAATAATTTTATTGAAAATATATTATTTTCTTTTATTGAAAATATATATTATTTTCTTTTATTGAAAAACAAACAGAATCTTTTAGTAGACCTAATATGTGTGACGCTGTTGATTACCGTTGCTATGATGTCATTAACAGTAAACGGCCGCGACCGGTCATGACCGGTTTTTAAACTCGGTTTCAAATTCTGCATTTACTTTTGCCCATTTAGCTTTACATCATTTCTATATTCTCCGATTAATTAGTTCCTCAATTTTTATCTGTATTTTTTTCTAAAATGTCTATCTTTATGATTGTTGAAAACATAGAAAATATTCTATTAAATAAATAAAAATGTAGAAAAAATTATTGTTACATAGTGTAATGCAAATTACAAGCAGTAATAGTTATTCTACATGTCAAATTCCATTCGACCTAATGTATTTGTTACTAATGTAATTAATACTCATTCAGGACCATTATTTCCTATAAATTATGCAATAAATTTGCATATATCTTGCATACTTCAACACACAGGATTTGCATAAACTTCCACAGTCTAGTCATGATATTTATGAATGTTTCCCAAAAATAAAATTCCACTTTTATAAAAGATTAAAGTACATTTAAAAGGAACACACTGCTGTTTCTCTCGAACGACAAATTTTTATTCCAATAAAATAAAAAAAAGCTTCTTATTCAGAGAATAGTTAACTTGGCGTCGGTATGTTAAATAACTAATTTATATTTATAGCATATTCACGCATTTTTGTACTATATATAATATGTTTATACCGTCTAATAATATTTAAATAGCAATAGTATAATGTTAATACTTAGCCAACCGAATGGGGAGATCTCCCACTTTTCACTTAGCAACGTATTGCCTTTTATTCTGTATATCTTTTCTTTTGTTATTTAGTAAGTCTTGAAGTGGGATTATTTGCAATTCATGAAATACGGTTCTTGTTTTTACAAAACCCAGTTTCTAACCGAATTCACTGAATGAGTTCAATTGAAGATAATGGAGGAGATTGTAGTCATAGTTCTTTTTAGGTGGTCGCCTAAGTGTTAACAGTATATAGAGCATATTCATAGTGTATTGCTAGATAATGTATTTATGTAACACACAAGGGTCCCAAGAAACATGCAAGATTCGCATAAGGAACGTACCTGATGGGAATTGAACAGTGCAATGTTGTTGACGAAATAATCATCCAGCGGCTGGTAGACAGCCTCCCAATCGTATCGAACGTTCCAAGCTGGTAAATAAGTTTCGTCCAGCAAATCAGTGTTACCAGGTAGCACCAAAGGTGTCACGATGGGTGTATAAATTCCAGGCGACGCTGGTACTATAATGGGAGCGATTTGCTTGTAGTTCGAGTAACTTTGTGATTTCTGGAAATTTCGATGTTTATTGCTGGCGAAGTTGCTCGAGAGTTTACGGCTGTTGGTCTGCGTGTGAGGGGCACGGATAACGTATGTCGTGTCGATCGTTTTAGCCTGGTTGTACTGGAATTGCCCTTCTGGCGGCACGTATCGACCGTCCGGTGTCAGATATACCTTGAAAAAATGTGCAATGAAATGGTAATATTAGGTTGAGGCAGATAAGCACAATGTAGGTGTTCGGTCGTTCCATGAATTATATTCAATTTAAATTTTAAATTGCAGTCGTAACATTTTCAGTTTGCTGTAACTTCAATTTCAATGTAACCCCTTGCTCTACGATATCGTGTCAGACTCGTGAAGATTTCAAATAGAATGTAACAAACAAATATTATTCGATTTGTTTGAATGCAAATTATATATTATTTCTCTGTTATCAATGGCTGTACGTTGACGAAATCAATAGAATGAGACTGAACTTCTCTCTTGTTTTCAATGAATTATTAGCACTCCAGGTTGTTTTGTAATCTATCAGCAACTGCAACTAATTTTTATTGTATTCCTGGCGAAGATTACAAATGCTATAACATTTCTTCGATCTTTTACTTTCCTTGTTAGTACAAAATTTGGATGTGTCAAAAAGCGAATAATTTTAGGGTAGTTTTCTTAAGGTTCAGTAAAATATTTAATATTATAACTGGTGCAATATTGGAGCCTACAGAGATCAAAGGGTTAATAACAACGTTGTTAGATCGATCACAGTTCCGAAAGAAATCATAGGTCAAGTTAAAGATGATTCATCGAGGATTTGTAAATGAACTTATCATTATGCAGAAAATCTTGTGAAATATTAAATACACTTTAACCCTTCGGCAACTGTTGGCGCCTGAAGGCGCTTTGAATCAGACGTAAGTGAATCCTAATTCATAATTACATCTTCCGTTAGTTATATATTATATGAACGTGATTATTTTATATTGGTTTAACCCTGTTGCCCCGAATGGTACACGTAATCTTAAATTATCAGAAATCTAGGAAACTCGTAGCTGTACACGTGTTTCGGTTGATTAATGTGCAACCGTAAGATTTTTTCACAAAATTCATATTAAATAAAGTACATATTCAAAGACGAAAGGGTTACTATAGTTTAATTCAGTGTTTCGATCATTTTAATACGCAATTGACCTTCTGCCATACGTCACATGTGCTACATATCAAAATCTGCCGTGGCCGAAGGGTTAATTGTTCATGTATCGAAATATATCGAGGTACGCCAGTTATCAATGCACACCTTTATTGCTTCTGGCACTGTCTGAACATGTTGCGTATGTTTATGTACATGTCGGGCATCTAAGAACACGCCGTCAGGCACGGTGATGCCTTCTTTGTTCAACCGATTTAACGCCAAACGATCGGTCCTGAAAGCTTCCTCTGGAATTTTACCACCTAACGCTGGTAACACTTGTTCCCTGAATATTTGTCGCTTTTGCTGGAAGAAACGTTTAAAAGACGGAAAATATTCGAACAATATAAACATGCACACTGTACAATTCGTTTTCATATGCGTATTTCATCGTTACATTTTAAGCATCGTGATTGAAATACAATTTGAAAAGATATTTTAACGAGCGTATGTTGCATAGCAAATAGATGTTTAATTATGGATTTTTCGTATATGTGTTTATTACGCTTGCACAGGGAGCTGAAATAAGATGTGTAATTAAAATTAGCGAAATTTTTATTTTATTATTGATCTGCAAGATTGCTGAATAAGAAATTGTGAATTAGCTCGTATGGATTTTAGCATACGCGAACGTTCATCGTTGTAATTAATTTTAATACTGATTATATGGGTATGTTTTATGGCGTTCTTAATTATTATGTTGCGAGTTTGGTCTTGTGTTTCACCTTTGCTGAGTCGACGTGTGCTATGAGTAATACAGCAATCAATGCTAGACAGGACCAACATCCGGTTTCAAATGTCTTCATTATAACTACAGTTCTGCTGATCGTCTATACCAACGTCTTTCGAAACATTCCTCCTATTCATTCGTCTTTCTAAAATACATACATAAGCAGGAATATATTGGGTAGATGTAAAAATCTTGACGTTTCTTGTACGTGGCTAAGAAATAGATTTTTGTTATAAATAACATCTGTTTTTAAATTGTTACGACGCGTGTAAGGGACACTTCTTTCCTCTTACTTAGTTTTAATTTAGACTTTTAAGTTTAAACTTTTACATCAACCCAATATTTAAAAAAAACATTTACTATATTAAAAAAACCACAATGGTAAATAAACGCATAGAATGAGTTAGCTAAAACTGGGATTTAAAGTCTTAACACTTAGCCAACTGTTTGTTTTCTTCACCGATCATTTATTTTGTTTATTTTTTTTAGTTATTTAGTAAGTCTTAAGTCGGGGATATTTACAGTTCATTAAATACCTTCCTCGCTTCTTTCAGATCCGATTTCAATCAATATTTCATTAGTTTAATGAATAAAGTTATTCACAGCAAGTTATATTTATATCGTTGGTATAAAATAAAATCATTTTAACCTCTGTGTTTAAATTTTGATTGAAAAACCTACGCGAACTTTTTCCGGTGTCAATACAAAAACGATGCTCAAACAACTCTACTTGTATGGTTTGTAAGTCAATGTAACCCATTGATGAAAATTTTCACACGTTCAACTACAAAGTTGGCAAATAGTGTCAGGAATGCAGGAAATTCTTATCTGAGAACGTAACGGGGTTAAACAGCCTTAAATTAATTTCTGAAACATCCCGAAGCAATCAGCCGACTAAGCTTTCTCTTGTCCTGGGTCAACGAACTGATTTAACTAATTAACTGGATTTAACTGTCGATCAGAAGGGTAAGAAACATCCCCGCATCCGGTATTTGTTATTGGAATACTCGTTTCGTGCAGTCCCACAGCCTTGTTCTAATTACATCCTTCGAGCGAACCTGTCGCAATTCCCTCGCTGTGGTAGGCGAGACTCCGTTCCATTTACTTTGCGCGAGTTAATACGAATCTTCCCCCTGATTCAATACGACCAATGATACCCAATATCGTGTGGTAACAGTTCGCAAAGATAAGTTTCGTAACATAACTCCTATTGGGTCGGAGAACGACGTTTGACTCGACCAAGCACAGAAATTTTCTAACGAAACTATAACGGAGGGTAGAATAGAAGAAAAATTTACATAATTTGAAAAGTCTTCTATTATTTGAAAACGATGAATTAAAAGTTTGATGAAGAAAAATAGAAGAAATAGAAAATTGTTTGATTTGTAAAAATATATAAAGTAAAATAGTTTTTGTCTTTCTTTCTTTTAATGCAAGTAGACTGACAAGGAAAAAGATAGTAAAGCATGAGGTTATTGTTCTTCTAAGATACGCTTCTTTCTTTTTTCTTTTTTAAAACAAGTTTATTTAATATGGTGTGATGTAGACGGTTGTGTACGCATGTTTACTCAGTTTCATTTTTTAATTAAAACGCGGTAAATTAATTTGTGGTAGAGTTTCTGCAGCGTTATATTTCTTCTTGAGAGGTACTAAGACGATGTTCAAATGATAAAAAATGTGAAGAAAATAAGAAGAAAATTGCTGGGTTCCCGGTCAAAGGAAAGCTTTATATAAGCGGAAAGTAATAACTAATCGCCCGGAACCAGGAACGCGAGGAAAGGATGCCTTTTACTTCCCAACTGAGCCGGTGAAGATGTTAAGCATTCGAGACGCGACTATTAGGCATGCACTGACAATATTACATGCTTAAAGACTTGACGTTTCAAAAATCTCAAAATTCAATAAATTTTCATCTTTTCTAATCTTTGTCATTTAATATACGATTTTTGTACATTTTCATTTGTAAAATTTAAATATTAAAAATGTTTTTCTCCTGTCAAACGCCTTTCCCTGATGAACCGAATTTCGAGATACAAATGAAACTTATAATATTTATAAATATTTCAACATGGACAAACAGTGTTTATGTAATTAATAAGAAAATACAAGTTCTCAACAATCGAAGTCGTCAAAATAAATGAAAATTTACAAGAACCGTCTATTTCATATTATAATAAACAAAGAATGTAAAAATGTATTGGATAATATGATTAAACTGCATACTTTGCAAATTTTAATTTGCATAGAAAAATATTGTGAATGTAATAAAATAAAAAAAATAAACAACTGGTCGGTATTCAAAAGTTTATAAATTTTATAATTACAGTTATTTTCTCCACATTTTGCAAATTCAGAGTCTGAGAGTTTTTATCTCATATATTTTTATATTCGTATAATATGTAATAATTGATAAGCATTTAGAATACTTTCTTATACATCCATTATATCCTATTAAAATAACAAAATTTTTCATTTATGCACTAGTGATAAAATGAAGTATTTTCATAAATAAACTTTATTGAGTTATTTAATTGTTATAACTCAATGATTATTTAACAAATCATATCAAAAGAAGCAACTCTGTCAAACAGATAAATTTCATTTCGATCAGTTCAGAGAGCTAGACATAAATCGATGTTAACCAAAACAATATCATCGATTATAAAACAAATAACGAATGTTCTGCAGTTGTAAATATTGGCGCGCGTTTTGAATATTTCTAACAATTAGAAAGTAAATTTACTTAATATTATTACACAGTATACTAACCTTCCCCACGAAATCCACCATTTCATTTTCCTCGGAAAAAGTGAATAATATAAAAAGAACTAACAATAAATACAAACCGGTAGTAGAAGATATCATTGAACTCCTGAAAACTCACTCACTGGTTTATTTCATTTTTTTATAAGTGCAGCACGATCAACACAAACCACGAAACTGATTGTCAAAAATAAAAAAAAACGAATATAAATGTCTTAATTATACGGTTCAGTGATGGATACACGTAGATATTAATTATTCAGTGCAGACGTGTTTATTTTATTTTCTTTTTCTTTTAATATTTAACATTAACTCATGGCAACCGTGTCAGGAAGTTGAAGGATGGTGAAGACGATACTGAACCCCCCGGTAAGAGTTCACCTGGTGATATACCTGAGGAAACTGAAGCACGTGATTCGAGCTCAAAACACTTTCACTGCTGGGCTAAGATAGTCCTGCATCTTCTCTCTCTACTCTTCTCTTTTTCCTAAATTACATCTTCCTTGTGACTGCAGCTGTGGGAACATTCAGCGCATCATGGGATACCATGGATTGGCAATAATTGACCATTAGGTCATAGTTAACGTTAATTACGTTATCCCATGACTCGAGGAAACTCTGGTGCCAATAATGGATATTGATTGTTCTGAAAATTTATCTTGAACATGAGGAATAATTCGATAATTTTGTTCGCTTGGAATGATTTGGCCATTTTGAGATTTTAATAGCTTCGAGCATTTACATATGAATTGTTTCGTTTCAAAATTTTGTGTTTGACCAACAATATTTTTCAGTTACTTATTGTAACTGTTTAGTTATTAATTAAAGTTGGGAACAGTGACAAGAAATATTATTTGCAAAAGTTTTATAATTACTGAGTGGAAATGGCCTGCAATAATTTCATAGGCGATGAAGATGTAAATAAAATTCTAAGAGCACCTCGCTCATCCTTAACTTTAATTATTGAATTATATTAAAAATTGAATACTTCCAAAATTTTGATATTAAAACAGAGATTATTATAATTATATTCCCACTAAATACTGCAAAAGAAATATAGACATTCAATTTGAGAAAACAGGGATTTTCAAGTTTAATTTAAAACTTTTATAAATAATGTTTTTACCCTGACTTAAAATAACAAGGACATTATAAATTGATAAAGTTTTTCACACGGCCTGTGCAAGTCTGAAAATTTATACTATGTTTTCTAACACGATAAAATATTTACGGTCGATGTGCCACTTTTTTCCAATATTATATTTTCCTACGGTAGAGTAATTTTTACATCGAAGCTGTTCCCGAATGTGATATGCATATTTGATTACGCAATGATCCGTGAGCTAAGTTCTCAATCATTCGTGCAGGGTAATCCGGCCATTGGTAACACTACACGGTGGTCAAGTGATCCATGATCCATCAACAACGTAACTTCTGGACAAAGGTGCATTATTACCATCCTTCTTACAATGTTTGTTTACTCGATACCTGCTAAACTATAGCTCTTTATGATTTTATGGCACGTTCACATCTGTAAAGTGCAAGCAAACTCATAAAAGATAAATGTCCAATGACTAATCACTTATGGCTGTAAGAACAGTATATTTGTATTATAAGTATGAACATACTACATGAAAATAAACACGCTTGTATATAAATATAAATATTCATATTTAATACAAATGTTTATATTTATATTTCCTTACATTTATATTCACATATCTTCAATTGATTAATTGTTCATTTATCTTATACAGGAACGAAAATTAGTAACATTTGTTTTTTAATTTTCACGTCAAGGGATTCTTCATATAGAAGACAATTTTTCCAGGGAAGAACCTATGGAAATAGTAACAACATCTGTATATTTACTGAAAAAAATATGAAACCTAATGCTTCCATGTTTTGCACTGAAAACAAGAGACTGGTAGCAGTTCAATTTACTGATAAGGTCATCGGTACAACGAAAAATTAATACCTGTCTCGATCTTCCGATCGTGTTGTAAAAGAATCACGATTTTGTAGTGCGGCGTGGATCGTAGTGCAGCACGCGTAGCAAGTTACGAAATTCGAACAGTTATATCTACATTTTTCATAAATTATCTTGCTACCGTGTGATTATCGTTTACTCAATATCGAAACTATGCGCCGTTGTTCTGCGCCAATTGATTTTCCTCCGTTAGAAAATAAACTTAATTTATATTCAACAATTTATAGAAATCATTCTAAAAAATATTACCTTGAAAGATAGAATGAAAACCAGTTAAAATAACGTTTTTAATAATAGTTTATGCTTGAAAATTGTTTGAATCGTTCGAATTATTCTGTCGAGCAGTTTTAATAAATAATTTTTAAAAATTTAACGTGTCCTTTAATTTTAAAGCATCTATCGCTCGAGAAATAATACTGTACCGTAAATATTTTGCAATAAATCACTAGATTCCGCAACTATCATCGATTTATGGTTATTGTTTCCTATTACTATAATGCATCCACATTTATTCGATGCGAAACTAATTAATAAAAAGTATTAAGCCGGCGTTCCCTGTGGCCCTGTCTAATTATATTGCAAAATCGGTGGCAAGCACGAGCTGAACGATGCTATTAAACTAAGCGATTCCCTTCATGTGTAATACGGGCGTTGCGTTGCTAGTGGAGTATAATGAGATCGTTTTCGTCATCGACACCTTTGCCGTTTCTGACGAAACGCTCCCAGGATCTTTGGCGAGTCGAAGTTATGTTCGATTTATTTGCATCTCGTTCCATATTCAGCGCGTTCATCTTCGAATACAAATTTCTGCTGAAAATAACGTGTAAAGGTCACTGTGCAGTAAAAAATTTTTTCCTAAAGTAAATGATGCGCGTTAAATAGCGAAGGAAATGTCAATTATGTTAACCTTCCTGCGGAACTTCATTTTGAATTTTATTTTTTCATAGAGTTTATACCTATATAAGTCTCTCATTAACTAAATCGGTTAACTCCACAAAAGGAAAAGTGATTTCTATTCATTGTCAGTTCTCGTGAATTGGTCTACAGAAATTTGTCAAATATCCTTATACAAATACTCGGGTTAATTAGTACGATTCACAATTGCATTCCTAAAGAAGTCACGTCCGGGTCGTGTTTAAACGGAAGTCCGGAAACCATTTTCCTCTGTACAGGGATAAACAGTGGAACCTTAAACGTACGATGAACCAGAAATCGTTCGTGTTCTATTCATTCGTTCAACAAAAAGATTCAGGAAAGAATTGCTCTCAGTATGCCCGATTTGGCGAGGGATTGCCACGTTCTAGTGAAACTAGGAAGTGTGTACAATCAAATGAACTATGATGAACACGGAGATAAAGTGTGTGAGAAGATAGACACATTCGAGTTGTGTCCGATAGGTGAAGCTTTCCTTGCTGCGTCCAAAAAATTCACACAATTGCAAATACATTCCTTACATTCACTTTTACTTCAGTTTTCGGTTTTTAACCCTTCGCGCTTGAAACTTTTCCACCAGAAACGTTCATCGTTTCCTACTCAGATATAAATATGGATAAATATGTGAAATATTGAAATAAAATAGCTTCCCTCTTTAATTTATCTGTAATTTTTCTTTCAATTAATTATAGAAGATATTTCACATAGTAATTCATTATATAAAGTGTAATATTAAATATGAAACTTTTAATATTACCGTATTAACACTAGAACTACCGAGCATTTAATACAATTAATACGTGATCTCTATAAAAATTGTAAGAATAGATTATGTTCAGTTTTTTCGGACAGACATTATAGTATTCAAGTGAAACTATTTATTTCCAAGATCATTTCGATTACTTAATCATTGCAAGATATCAATAATTGCGAAAAAAAATCAGAACCGATCATTTTGACTCGATCGGCTCCCGAATGGAAAGGGTTAAATTGTTACTTCATTTTACAATATTCTTTACTTAGAACTCTAACAACAGTAGAGATTGAATAGTTAGTGTTAGAATGGTACATTGAAGAAGATTCTAGCCCTGATAAACGCCGCGCGGTTGTACGATGTAACTCGAATACGAGTCACTGGAACATATCTGAGAGAAATGTATTCCGATGATGCATTTTAGTTCACTGGTGTTACGCAAATAAGAGACGAGCTACTCTGATTTCCCGTTTGTAGATTTCTCTCCCCTTCTCTAGCTCATCAAGTTCGTTCACCCACGCGTGACCTCGTTTTAGGTACACAAAGATCTAATATTCGACATATGAACTGCGAATTTGAGTTTGTTTCCTAAAAATTTTGGAATTCTGAAGATCTTTGGTACACCTCAGAAATGTTCTGGTTTTTATTGATGCGAACACTTTAGATTGCCAGCGCATCGCTAACGTATTGTCGACATGTTGAAGATTTGAAACGCTCGTTAAATTTATTCTCTTTTATTAGTAAACGTTACACGTTTCTATTTCTTCGTGCAGAATCTGTAATAAAATTTAATCGAGCAGCTTCCTGACGTTCCATTTTGTCGATAACTGTAGATTACAGTTCCTCAGATCTAATTTACAGACACGAACATGTTTTTGTTTGATAATGAGGTATTCTCGGTGCTGGGAACAAGAGGTTGTCTATGGTTTCTAAAGTAAGTGAACACGGAAGAATGTTATCTCGTAATTTCTCGAATTTAATTAGAAGATGATCTGCACCTATCTACGCCGCGAACCTTTCGTATAAATTACATCTATTTGCCAATAAATGGCCAATAAACTACTATATTTGATTCAATGTACAATAAGTTTTCAACGTCTGGGACCAGCATCCATCGAAAACCTTCTAATCATTAAATAATCAACTGGATATTTCCAGTAAGCGATGACTTCATCGAAAGTTACCATTTACTCTCTAATCATTATGTTATGTCACATTCTTGTACTATCTACCTTTCCCTTTCACACCTTTTTATTATATAACAAATTATAAATGTTACATTTCACGGTATAACAAAAAAATGATAATCATAGCCTTATGGTCATCACTAAGCTTTGCATGTTTGAGTTGATATTATATTTACGTATTTTATGTGCTCGATTTGACTATCTTATTAAACTCATTTGCATAGGTGTGTGATAAACAAACTCTTGAAAAACAAATTTAACGTTTTGCGAACATCGAAAACAAAGGTTTTGGATTTCACTCGGCTTCCAAGGTATCGCTTCGCAATTTATGCGTTGTCAGGAATTACGGTCAGAATGATTAATTAAATAAATATTTAAATTAAATTTGCTGCATATCTAACTGAATGCATATCATACATTTTATTTTGTAACATTGACAGTATGTAGATCTAGATAAATCAATGGAACGCTATAAACTCATTAATCAATCATTAAATGTTCCGAACGTCTACAATTTCTAGCCAGGATCTTCAAAACAGTAACAATTATATTTCCTCAGTTAACACTAGTATACATTACAAGAACATTGAATAAAAAATAACAGGGAGCTCTGTATGTTTTCTGAAAAATTACTATACATAACCAAAAGATTCCACATTTAACACGTTGAATGCCATGGGGGTCACCAGTGACCCAACTAAATCAAATTACTACAATTCACTCAATTAAACGGTGATCATCTGAAAACATTTCTATATCACGAATAACACTACCTAGTGCGATGACATTCAGCCAGATCAATGTGCAGTAATAATAATGCAACTCAATCAAATGAATTAATATTACATTTTCCCCATTTTGTATTTCGCTCTATGAAATTATGCAACATTCAACGTGGGTAACTTCACCTCATAAAATCATTTCACATCACGAATAAAAGATTCGTATACTCGTCAATCTTCAGTCTTCGTATCTACTATGTCAGCTCGAACGCTGACTCCGCTGATCGATAACAGAGGGTGCCACGTCTGTCCAAACTACTTTGTACAGCTCTACCATAACAGCAGGAGTCACGGTGAAAAAGCAAAACATGTCAGCCGGACGTTCCAACAAGAAAACCTGTCTGAGTGTCAGGCAACAGTTAGAGCTGGTCAAAGTATTGGAAAAAGGTGTACCGATAAGAGAAGTCGCCGCTAAGTACAATCTGCACGTGAGCACAGTGTGGCGGATCAAAAGGAGGGCGGTCGAAATCCACCGGCTAGCCGAGCAAGAGGGATTCGAGGAAAAGAAGAAAATAAGGTCCGCGAAGCACGAGGTGCTGGAAGCTCGAGTGTACGCCTGGTTCCTAGAACAAAAGACAGATGTTATCACGAACAAGGTGCTCCGCGAGAAAGCGATCGAGATCAACAAGGAGATCGGCGGCCCGTCAGACTTCAGAGGCAGCGAGGGATGGCTGTGGCGATTCAAACAGCGATATCGCATTTCTTATCTGACCAATCAGAGCGAGAATGACGCGCCGGAGAAACCGGCTGTCAAAATCTTCCTTCGTGACTTGAAGAGGATCATACGAGACCGGGGCATTGATCCCGAGCATCTATACAACATGCAGGAGACCGGGTTGACGTGGAAATTGTTGCCGACGAGATTGTTAGTCCACGCTGCCGAGAGAACTGTAGACGAACGGACCATAACAAAAGAGAAAGTCACCATAGGATTCTGCGCCAATGCGACCGGCACCCATAAACTGCCTATACTTTTTGTCAATAAAGATGACAGCCCGAGAGCGTTGAAGCACTGCAGAGATCATTTGCCCGTGGTGTACAAGTCGAGAGAAAAGGCGCGACTGGACGAGAAAGTGTTCGCGGACTGGTATGAGAATGATTTTAAAATTTCGGTTAGTAAACACCAATCGGAAACCGGGAAATACGGTCCGGTTCTTCTAGTCGTAGACGATTCGAAAGCTCGCTACTTACCAGCGGAGACTGCGCGGGACGACAGGTTTGCTATTGTGTATCTACCGCTGGATACTACGTCTATTAGGCAGCCTATGAATGAAGGTATATTGAAAAACGTTAAGAATAGCTTCCGGTGCAAAATGCTGCGACGGATGTTCAGTTTTAACGGGGTCGAGCAGTTTTATGATAATTACGATCTGAAAGATTGCATGGACATCCTTCATGACGCGTGGACGACCGTTACGTCAGCTAGTATTCGAAATTCGTGGAGTGAGATACTTCAACGCGTTCCTGATATTAATTCGAGGTTTTGGTGTAGCCGTTCGGAGAAGATGAATTATTGTATTACGCGGGAGAGTATCGAGACGATTACGGGGGGAAATATTACTGTCGATGAGGTAGGGAACTGGATGTCCACGTGCGCGGAGATAGAGGACAATATGGAGCAAGGGACTGATATGGACGGAACCATTTCACAGCTTCCTTCCGATAATGAATCGTGTCTAGGTGAAAGAGAGATGGAAAGGACTTTCAAACAAATAATTCTCTGGTTTAAAAAGGAACCGGAGTTCCTGCAAATGCAGGTGCAGTGCTTGAAAAGTTATTATGATAAAATTAAATAACGTAGTAGTGGATTTTAGAGGTTCGGTTCTTGGATCTGTGAAGCTAGGTTAACACGTTGAATGCCGTGGGGGTCACCGATGACCCACTAAATCGAATTACTATAGTTTACTCAATTAAACGATGATTATTTGAAAAGATTTCTATATTATAAATAATGCTACCTAATGCGGTGACATTCATCTAGATGAACGTGCAGTAATAATTCAATTCAATCAAATGATTTGATATTATATCTTTTTCATTTTGTGTATTTTGATCTATGAAAGCGTTCAATGTGTTAAGGGGAACAACTCAGGATGCGACCTTTAGTTTGTAATATTATTAGGATTTTTACGTGATTTCATTGAAATAGAGAAGTCTACAAAGTAAACCAGAATTTACACGTTAGGATAATAATAATTCCATAAATTCTGGTACACCCTATAGAACAGTATTGAATAGCAATTAACATAGAGTAACAGTATTTCAAATAATAGCGGGCAAGTCCAATATTCTATGTGAAATGTTCCTATGTAAAGATGTTTCTTGTTAACTATCCTTCACGCGAATAAATTATTTTTTATAAACTTTTAACATATGTAAATATCGTAGGGGAGTGTGTTAACGGTAAAATATGGTTACTTAATTCTGGTCAATAAATCGTTTAATTATACTAGAATTATTTCTCTTGACTATTTTCAACTTGTTTGTTTTCTCTCAAATTTTTAAATATTTATTCATAGATAAATGATTATATAAATTATAATATATAATTATATTATATAATATATAATTAGTAATGTATATTATAATTATGATTATTATTATTTAGTCTCGAGAATTATGGTTTGCAAAAAAAGATAAGGTGCCTCGCATGTTTGTTTAGAATTTAATGAAGTCCGTTCTCGTGTCGATACTTTCGTTCATTACCGTAAGCTCCTTGACTTGCTTATGTGGCACAGCACAATGGAGGGGAGAAAAAAAGTCGAGTTGCGCTTTTGAAGAGACACAACGGCATTGATAGCGCTCTGATACTTATCTGCGCTGGTGAATGACGAGACACGTCGAGGGTCGGCGTTTTTTAGACCCTGTTTGAAAATGTTTCCCATGCAGAACGTCGTTCGTTGCTGCAATTTTGCTGTTACAGTGAATTTCACTGTCGCCCACGGTTATATGTAAATCTATAGGAAACGGCTAGTCATTTTCAATTCCGTGAACTATTTCGTAAGAAGCAGGATTCAAATTTAATACGTTCACCGAACTAAAAGTACGATATAACATAGATGCATGGAATTATGGATTAGAAATTTCCAAAAAATTTAATGTGATTAAAGGTAGATGGAATGAATTACTACGAACTGTTGACATTTGAATTTCTGGAAGCCTGTAAATTTTCAGAAAACTACGTTTGAAATATTTAAGACAGGAGCTAACGTAATTAGGGTTGTTCTACGTAGATGTATTAGTATATTCATATTCCTCAGAAAATATATTTAAGAAATGCGTTTGATGACGGTTTATATTAGAATACAAGATATGTTTAACATAAACATTGTCTTTTAGAATTCGATTACCAACATATTGGGTCGTATGTGTAAAGAAGGTGAATATTTATAAGTATTAAGTAGAAGTAAAAACAAATGCTGAATTTCTTATGTATAATTAATTATACTAGCATTTTAGCAGTATTAGACTAGTATTATCTTTTACTAGTATTAGGCATACTTGAGATTACAATAGCATTTACTTGATATTTTTAGTTAATACCAAGTGTTATACATATGAATTTTAATTTTAATTTATCGGAAAATTCAGTAAATATTGTTTCTAGTAAATACTTCACTCTTTATGCATATAAAATCATTCACTTGCAAAATCCCTAGTAAAAACTAACACTTCTTTTTATGCATATGACCCACTATTTGGCGAAACTTTGTCTGAAGTTAGCGTAGAGGAATCAGAGAAGTAGATACGTATTTATTGCACCACTAAATTATTTATACGCATGTACATAATTTACATAATATATTTTATTAAAAACAATTATGTACCACTATTGTGAATTCTTTTCGTCCTCTTTCAACCATTTAAAGTTCGTTGTATTTCTTTTCCTTCGTCCAGTGCTCAATACTCTACTTAAGAATATGATGCATTCCTTAGTAATGACTTCAATCGATTACTCATGAAACACTGAATATTCATTTCATCATTTTGACTTGTTCCAAACTAATTTCCATGAAATGAAACTTCGACGAAAAACGATGAATATTTGAATATTCAAATTTCCCTGGACAATATATGAAAATTAGAATCGCACTATTCTCTGACTATTTATGCACTTTTCGTAGAAGTAAAGTTGTAAAAGACTGATATGAAAGTATAGATGGTTAAAAAAGGAATTTCGGCGACTGACGTTAAAATATCCATGTACTATCTGTTCATGAATAATAAAATTGGAATAATCTTGATTATCGTGACCTTTTTATGAAAAGGGGGAACAAAATAAATTTATAAAGATAAAAAATAGTTAATATTAATATTATTATTATTATGAAACAGTTAATATTATTAACATACAGTTAATATTATGATATTAAATAGTTAATATCATTTCATTGAAAGTTTCTGTAATCTTCAGTTTTGAACACCCAAAGGGTGAACCAGAATTATTGACCGATATTTGTCGCATGTGAAATAATCTCTCACAAATTGCAAAAAGTGTACACCCGCGGTGTGCACTTTCTGTAGGAGGGGCGTGATGGTAATTAAGATAACAGTGGGCTTTAAATCTCGACCGATGACGGAGACAGACAGCGAAAGGGAACGAGACAGTGACGCTGGTTTGACAGCGTGGGTTCAAAATGCTTATAACAATGTCGGCTGAAGGCGGTACGGGTAAAAATAAAATTTCGACGTTCCTCTTTTTTCCTCTAATAAAACGTACATTTCAGAAACTAATTGGACTTCCTTGGTGAAATCGCGTCTAATTACGGCGTTAATTGTACCATTTTGAGGAACATTTTAATATGCTGCACTTTCACAAGATTTTTCTATGCGTAGAAATATTTTGAGAAACGGTTTGAAAGTGTAATAGCGTGTGGCATTAATAGTTATAATTTAAACAAAGCGATTTCCCAATAAAACGAGCTCTTTTGTTCCTGGGTATAAGACAAATTGAAAATGTGGGTTAAAAAGGGATTAAAAAATGTTTGAAATATTTGTTATTTCGAAAGGAAATGAAGTTGTTTAATTGATGGAGGAACTGGTCAATCAGTTATATTTAATGGTAAATTGTGGAACACCGTGTATATTACCCAGATCAATCGAACGAAGTAACGTATTTGCGAAAAAATTAACAGCTATATATGTCGATGTTTTGCCGACTGGTTATGAAAAATTGCGTTTCACGCAAATAATTTGCTTTTATGTTTTGCGAACAGCGATGCTTTAAAAAATGGGAACGAGTGAGAGGCAGAAAATGGAGAACACAGCGTTTGACTCATATTTAATGAGCAAATGAATATCTATGAACGAAACAACGCGTGATTTTAACTTGCAACATGATTGGCATACTTTACAATACAAAACGACGAAAATTTATATGTGTCCTCGTAAAATCTGTAAATATTGTCCATGTTCATTTGTATGTGTATAGAAAAATTATTATATGATATTATATATTATATATTATATATTATTATATATTTTTCAACTTACTTGAAAGAAAATTGATTCTCTCAATTTACTTATTGAAAATTAATATTAATAAATATTTATCAAAGATTAGAGTTACATGTTCAAATTTCAACATGTTAAGCATATTTATTTCTCATCTATGATATTCAAATTCAGTTAAAATAAAAGTAAAGAAACCACATAAGATTTCGGTAAAATTTGTAGAACCAGCAAGTGTGTGAACTGTTTCGGTTCAATTTTGCCGTATTTATTTCATTAAATATATGAATTAATATATTTCTTCTTCGCCAACCGTGAGACTTGATTATAAAGTTTTGACAGGTAGCGCGTATTTTGAATAAAGTTTAACTCGATAGGTCAAAACGCGGACAGTGCATGACTTTCGTATACTCACTGTGCAAGTGCGTCATTGGGCTTTGCTCTAGAAAGGTTCTGATTTGTTGAAGCGTGACGACACGTTCGTAGAGGTAAGTCACGATTTCAATGTAAATGTCAGCGAACGTGACTAAAACGTATTAATGATAAAAGATCATTGACGTAATAACGTTTTCCGGGACTGGTAAAGTTGAAAAAGTTGAACAGGTAAAGCTCCTGAAAACCTGTAGAATTAGATTTACAGACATATAATTTACAAACTTAACCCTTTGCACTCGAAAGTTTTTCATCAAAAATATTCAACATTTCATTAGGAGATATAGACGACCATTTTTTAAACTAACTGAACAAGAAACTACACATAAATCAACACTTTAACTACCAGCGATTATTTAGTGATTCTTTAAAGTTCAACGGCTAAGAGTTTTTGAAGAAAGTTTTCAACAGCAATAGTAATTATAATTGTAAATCGGTAAATTATCTCGTTTAACATAATACAATGATTTTTCTTAAGATCATTATGTACATGGAAATGAAAACGTATTTTTTATATAGTACAGTTATTGAGAAGTCTATTTTTAAGCTCTCGGTAGAAAGTGTTAAAGAACGAAGCTATTTTATTTCAATAGTTTGCATATAGATGGATTACACAAAATTTAATATTAAATATTAAATTTTATAACTTTGCTGTATTAAAGCAAGTGATGATTGTGAGTCACTTTTTGACTACAAAGGGTTGAGATCATTTTTAAAACGAGGAGTGTCTATACAAATAAGAATCGCATTGTTATTTTGTCGTTTTGTTTTAATTTCGCAGTATAAAGTCAAATGTTGTAAGAGAAAATTCGTAGTTTCTGCAGATTAATATATTTAGCTACTTTAGCATCGTCGATCTTTTAATTGTGACAATTATTCGGTTACTACTTATTGCACAGTTTTGAGGTTTCAGTGTAAATTTATTTATATCTAATTAATGTAAGTATAGTATACAATATTTATATTTCCGTAAGCCTTTTTCTGAAGTTATTTACCTATATTCATTTTTCATCCTGCACGCACCTGTAAGTAGAAAAAAAGGATTTTAAAATGGCAACGATAAACAAAGGAATAGATGAATTTTATTAGTTGGTAGTTTATTTCAACAAGAAATGCTATGTCTAAGCAACATTCTTACATTACTTTCGAGTAACATTGAGAATATTACTTGTCATATTCTCAGATCTTGGTGAAGTTCATATAATTAAAATTATTATTATATTGTGGCTCAGAATAATAGCGATTCAACTATTCTCGAATTCTTTAGAAAATCAAACTTTTGTCAAATGTTCTTGGACCAATTAAATATTGATATTACAATGTTATTAATAGTATTAATGTTTATAATTGTATATTGACTGTATAATTATACTAATATTATAATGTTGTCAGTAACATTAATTATTAGTAACCCTAATATTAATACTCCAGTAATCCAAGAACATTTCAATGAATCTTTTATTTCTCGAGAATTCGGAAATAAGAGATAGGCTATTATCTTGAGCCACACAAATCACACGTAAGTTTCATAAAAATCGATCAGAGCCACTCGGAAAACACTGTGCGTAAGTAGATCAACGCCAACGTCAGCTTCACGTTCAAGTGGCTTCTGTGTCACGCGACGTTCAAAAACGTTTTCATTTTACGATCGGTTTCTCTGCTCCGCCTTGTCGCCGTAATTTTCATGTTTTCCTCGTAATAGTCCGATAATCGGTTGTGTGAAATCGGTGCAAGAGTAAAAGTACCGGGAGCGACTGACAGGGCACGAGAATGAAGAAAACATAAATATGGATGTTGTGCATAATCCTATGGGAACCGTCCGAGCTGTGGACAGAATAATCTCATAGTTTTGAAAGTGAAATGGAAACACCCACTGGGAAATACAATATTATTCCAACTCTTATCTTGTAATCATAGAAAACAGTGTTCACCACTTTGTTTCTTGCTTTATGAATCATCTTTATCAGTAGAATGTGGATCTTCATTCGAATTCATACAAGTTTCGAGAGACTAATTGGTAAAGGAATTAGGTAATGAATTTAATGCATTGTATGATATATCGATAAACAATTATAATAAAGATAATAACTTTAGTTAACTATAATGTCTTTCGATCGAAGTTTTTAAAGAGAGCTAGATAAAAAGTTATTGGCTCGTTAATGCTTCTTATTTTATTTAAACTCCCGTCGGTAGCCTTTCCAACGAATGCACAAAAATGTTCGTAATTTAATCCCTTCAGTTCGGAAATTGGTGCTTAAGATGTGACGTCAAACGTGTAGGTGTAAAAAAAGCTTTTAATTGAATTTTTCTGGTATAAAATAGTTGCAGATTAAAGTCGACTATGTTATGGTCTACGAAGAATTTTTACGATCACTGTCCGCGAATGGCCGCACGGTGTACGACGTCATTTGTAACGTCTCGTTTTATCATTTACATTTGTCCGGGCTCTCTCTCACGTTTGTCTCCTTATAGACTCGTCTAGCATATTCAAGAGAGAAAGCACAGGTCTATGACTGTTAGAGTGCGACAAATTGCGTCGCATGTCCGGGTCCAGACTATGGAGACTAAATTAACGCTATGTTTACGGAACGAGTCCAATTTTATAAGCATCATCTGGCAAATATTTGCGACGATTTCCATTGATGACGAGGAAATAAATTTCATTAGTTGGTGATTTGTTTCAACAAGGAATGTTGTCTTTGAATAACTTTCTTACATTACTTTCGAGTAACATTGAGGAAGTTTGTAACATCCTTAGATGTTGGTGAAATTCGTGTAATTCGAAAATAAAAATATTTGGTAATTATACTATTATTTAAAATACTTATTTAGGTGGTAAAATAAACACTCAAAGTGGTTGTATATATTGGTTGCAGAAACCACATGTTAGTCTCTCATTAGTTGAATAATTAAAATATTGATTTCCATCATCAAAGCTCGAAGTCGCCATTATGGTGACATTTGACTTCAAAGGATTACCATATATTTAGCATATGGTATACCACTTCCGCTTTGGCTATATCAAAATATACATACACGAGATTCGTGTAAAATGCTTTGTTTGGTTGATTTGCTATATTATGAACGTATAAACATTATATAAACAACAAATCACGTGAAACAATTGCAAGAAAGGTATAGTCCTCCAAGGGTATTTCAAATTCGACCGTCACGAACGTTTTAACCCTTTGCACTCGAAAGTTTCTCAATGGAAATATTCAACATACTTCGACGAGATACAGGCGATATTGTTTGAAACTAATTTAATGATACTTCATAGATAAATCAAGCAACAATGGTGTTTCATTGAAATATTCCGCGCAGCAATGCAAAGTTTAATTTGAAATATCAAATATTCAACTTCATACTTTCGTATCGAATCAAGTAGCGAATGACAGTCACCCCGAGTGCAAAGGGCTAACATTCGCCCCGCTGCTCCCCCGAAACAGCGACCGGCTAGATTCAATGATTACCGTTTCCTCACTCTCATCCTCCTAATGTTCTGTAACCGTCTTTTGTTCCTGCTGGCGTTGGCTTTCGCCTCGGTCGCCGCCGCGTTCGCTTTGGCAGCCGCGCGGTTCGTATTAACGAGTTCTTGTCTGGCGACTTTCAACTGATTCGACAATTCTTCGACCCGCCTCTTTGCCGCGTCCACCAATTCCTCTTTCTCCTGCAAGGTTTTTTGAGCGCCGCTGGCCGCCGCCTGGGCGTTCGCCGCGTTCGCTTTGGCCGTTTGCACCGCGTGTGTCAGTGTCTTTAGCTGCACCGCAGCCCCGATGGAAGAAAGAAAACCACTGTAACCGGCTCGGTTAAATAATGCGAAGGAATTGTTTCGCGGAAACCGTAAGGTCACGTATTGCGCGCGCCAATAATATAATGATTCACACCGGAACTTTCTCAATGCGCAATTGATAATGATCCGGCCGGCCGTTGTCGTGGAAAATCGCCGGCCGAGCCGGGGATTTCAGAAATTCTTCATCGGTTATTAAATTTTATTGGTTATCGGGTTTTATTACCTGGTCCTGGGACTGTCGCGCAGCCTGCACGGCCGCGTTCACGTTCGTTTGCTCCCGTTCCAACGACGAGGACTCCTCCTGCACTACCGACTGTGCCTCCTTCACTTCCTCCTGCAGTTCCGCCACTATCACCTTCTTCCGCGAGAGCATCTCTTCCGCCGCCTTTGCGGCCTGCACCGCTTTTTCGGCGAGCTGCGTTTTTACCTGAAGAATTTAGTTAATGAATCGATTGGGATAATTATGCGCGTGGTACATTGGAAATTCAAACAGGGAACTCTCGCATAACGCGGTTAATCCTTTGCTATAAGATTTCTTTCCCAATCGCGCTTACCAGTTGTTTTATTGTTAATAATTCAGAAAAAGAGAAAAATTATGTAGTTATTCTATGTCCAGGTTTACTTGGAAGCATCGTAATTAATAATAGAAAAATAATATTCAGTTTGGACTTAACACGTTTCTAGAGTGAACGTGTTCTTGGTTTATTAAAAAATAAAGTATTTTATGTTTATATTGCGTGCTTAAAATATTCGTTTCTTAACAAGAACGGTCGAATGATCTGAAATATTTGTGTTCGTTCGTCAGATTGCTAACTGCAGTTATTGAGAATAATAATAAAACAGTATTCTACTAATACTGTTAATATTCAATGTTAATAGCAATATTGATTATGTTTTTATGTTTCTATGATCATGCTTTCGGAGGATATCATTTTCGAACTTTTCTTTCACGAATTAAAGGACTCGTCAAGTCAAAAGTAAGATTAATATTTTCCTACTCTTGCTTAACCTGTTTATGTTTGAATAATCAAAATCATTAATTGATTGAACCGTGGGAATTATACTGTAACGATTTGTTGCATAACACCAGTGCATCTAATGTGTTTTCGTAATACTAAACAATGCATAGAATATGCGCAACAGATCAATCTGTGGGAAACTGAGTCTCCTAGATAGATCGAATCCGTTAGATCCGTTCGTGATTATAAATTTTCCATCGGCGTTAACTCGGGTTTAATAATTCGTGTGTCTCAGAAACACGAAATATTCAAAATAAAAAAAAAACACGA